CGATGTTCTGTTCTGGGTATTGCACTTCCCTCGGATCTGAAATTGTCTCTTGGTGTTCCATCAAACAAGCCACTGTAACAACCTCAATTTGTGAGGCCTAATAAATTGCTGCCTCTGAATTGTTAAAAAAACTAGTTTAGCTTTATGCTCTTCTGCTTGGCCTCCACAACTCTCCTCTTCTCTGTGATAACAACAGAGGCATTGTCCTCTCCAGAAATCCCTCCTAACTCCTGAACAAAGCATATAGATATTAAATACTATTTCATCCACAAACTTGTTTCTTCCAACCAACTTCTGTTACAGTACATAAATGCCAATAACAATCTTGCTAACACATTCACAAAACCACTTCCTTCCAAACAATTCAACCATGTCTGTAATTTTATGGGCTTTCAACCCTAATTTTTCCATCCCCCCCTGATTTTTTTCTCTTTCTTGCATTTGTTCTCTTTGAGGGGGTCTGTTAATGTTCAAAAAAACATACTTGTAGTATTCATTCCTAGTATTCTATTTCATCAGGTGACTCCACAACAATGAAGTTTATATTGTTTTTCTCTCTCATTTTCTTTTCCTCAGTTGGTTCTCTGACAACTGAGGGTATGTTTCTTATTCATTTCTTCTTCTGTCACTTCTGATGTAATACATACATATTTTATGTCTAGGTACTTCATACTCAACCAATCTAAGTTGGTTCTCTGACAACTGAGGATCTTATGTCTAGGTTTTCACATTGATATCCTCACAAGAGGCTCACCTCGGTATGTCAAATTTTCAAGTTGGTACCCTCTCCAATTATGTCAACGGTGTTTCTTGGTTATCTCAATATGTTTTCTAGAGCTTTTTTTTTGAAGGCTACCCTTTTGTGCTTGTTGTGTAGGCTTGTTATGTTTTGTTTTTTACAATATATTTATTTATTTCAGAATACATCAACTTCCAAACCTCTCATAGGATACAATGAGCACACTGACATAGCCAACACAGCAAGTAATGAAAGTGTAAATACAACTGTTACTAGGTGGTTTTAGGGCTGCGCTAGACAATGACTTCCACTTGCCTTCTCTGTGAACAAGTACACTTTTTGAGGCTCTCATTTTTGTCTTCACTATTGTTGTTGCTGTTTCTTTGGGAGCTGTGATTGAGGCTGGAGAAGGGCTTTATGGAATGGTGCGCAGTGCACTTTTGTTTGTTGACGTGGGGTGGGGGTGAGGTGAGTCAACTCAATATGGGACGCCTTTGTGGTCAATTGAGGCTAAATACCTCTGCTATGTCATCAAGGGAGCATTAATTGTTGCAATAAGCAATATCAGAACACGGAAACTCTTCTGAGTGGGATTAGACATACTATATGTGAATTACTTTCCCACACTGCACAGCTTCCTCTTATTTTTAGATACAACTCTCTCATGTGGTAGAGCTGGTCACAAAGGCTGTGCCCTATGACATCATCAGCCACCAATTTCATCAACTGTATAGTACACATGTACAAATAGTCTATAGTAGTATATATACTATACCCCAATAGATCAAGGAGACTCCTCAGCAATTCCTCCTGTTGTTTACCCACAACAAACTCAGTCCTACAAACTTTGGTTGTAACATTTGCTGCTAGCCATCACTAATGCAACTTTGAAGCCATGTTCTTTTGCAGGGGGCACCTATTTTTTGCGTAGTGATCTGACTTACCATCCAAATCAGCTCTCATTTGGACTTGTCAAAGCCTTGCATGTTCTGGGAGATTGCTCCCTGGACATTGGAACTAAAGTGATCTGCGTGGTGGGAAGGTACAATATCAAGCATAGCTGTTGTGGGTAGCATATAGAGTTGTACACGGTAGTACTATGCTGTCCACACATGTGAGTCAAGATAATAAGTCATGCAATCAAACCAAATGGGAAGGAGACCACTCAGATTCATCAGTCTTGCTGATGGCCATTGAGGACACTGATGTAATCCACACAGTGGGCCACAACAATAAGTGACTTGGATTTGAAGCTTTGAAGGCTCAATGTGCTGCAGCAAAAGGTGACTTTAATGCTTGAGGGCATCCTAAAGGAAATATTGTGAGCAGGTTTGCAAGAGCATCTACTCAGATCCAACTGAGCAGGATTAATCAGCAACAATAGAAGTCTCACAATCAATAGGAATATACAGGAGTGTAAATAGATGGATCAAATGGGGGGGAGGGGGGTGAGGGGGTAAAGTAATAACATATAATCATGACATTTCTGAGGCACCTCCAGCACTTTCAAACTTATGAGACTGTGTGCCAGGCAGTTGTCTGTTCATGAATGTATTAGATTTAGCAGTGTGACCACAGGGAGTGCATAAAAGCAAAGTGATTAGTATGTAGTACAAATGATGTAGCCTGACCAAAAGATACTTACTTTTCATGTCTGGGACACATTTGAAGTGTAGGTGCTTCAAACATTTGTCCCGCAGGCTGTTACCAAGTTTGTCTACATAATATTGGAGATGTTGTGCTCGCTGTTTTTTCAATATTTGCTTTTCAAATATTAGGAAAAACATCCAAGATGTATTGGCACAAAACATTTTTCCACTCAGTGTAAATGCAATACTTATTACCAATGTTCTGCAAAAATATGTTTTGTATATTTTCCCCAATGTTTCTTAAGAAAGCAAAAAAAAATTGTGAACCAAAAATCTCCAATGTTATTTACAAAAACATGCTAAAAAACAATGTCTCTTTTTTTTGAGTGATTTTCAAATATTTTATTGTAAAACATAGGATTTTCCCCCCAGTTTATAGTATTCCATGGTATTCTATATGATGTCATATCATGTGACCAGTCACGTGACTTCCAAAAGTAAAAGTCCAAAAAATTTAAATTAAATTAAAGTAAAATAAAAGTAAAAATAGATGCCAAAAATACTGTTGTAACACTATATGTTACAACCAAAGTATGTATACTCTGCTGCACAACTCAGACAAGCAAGAGTGAAGTGAGTGGGAATGGATACCCCTCATGAAAGGACCAAGTTTGTTGTTGGTAAACAACAGGAGGACTTGCTGAGGAGTCTCCTTAATCTATTGGGGTATTTATACTACTACTGACTATTTGTACATGTGTACTATACAGTTGATGAAGGCAGTGGCTGATGATGTTATAGGGCGCAGCCCGTGTGACCAGCTCCACTGTGTGAGAGACTTGTAGCCAAGAATAAAGAAAAGCAGTGCAGTGCAAGAAAGTGGAGTTTGAACAAAATGGAAAGTGCCACATTACACAGTGTGTGAAAACTACGAAAGAAAGTTAAAGAGGAGAATGAATTTTAAAGGTCTGAAAATTGTGTATCGTAACATATAGTGGGAATATTCCTGGTACAGTCAGGAACCAGGTCTTACAACCACTAATTGACACTGGACCTGGCACCAGTCAATCACTCTGGGCATCTGTAGTTTCCACATATCCTTTGTGTCTCTCAGTTCACATCTAACTAAGTTTATGGGAACATCAATTTGCTGTTGACAAAAATCAAGAGTCCTTGTAACACCTGCAGATTCCAATGACAGGTGGCTTGCTCACTTGCGGCCCGGGGTACACTATTTATAGTCTCCCTTGCTGACCTAATTCAATATATTGATGATAGTCGATTGATATCTTGTAAATAAGGTCTGCTTCAAAATAACGGTGGCGTGCAGAGTGCCCCCCTTCGGTGTCAATACAGCAAAAACACGAACACTATTCAAGCTCCGTTGATTGTCAGCAAGCTTAGCACTCAACAAAAACTCTACTGTTGTTAACCGTCTGTTCGGATGGGGGGGGCTATTCGGACATTTCTGAAAACATATGTTCCACTGTTATTTTTCCTCAACAACTCGACCCATAGCAGTTCTATATATTCTTACTACTTACTCCAACTTTCCTAGCACAAAATCCTGAATTATTGAGTGAGTTCCTTCCATGTGCGTGACTTTCGAGAAAGTAACGCTCTACTAAGGTACTGCAATCTCAGTTTCAAAAAGTTCAGGTGTGCCACACTCAAAATCATGTTCAAACACTGATAGTGCCGAGCAGAGCTCTAACTCAGCTTGTGTGACCTCTGTGACGTCCGAATAGCCCCCCCCCCCCCATCCGAGCTGATGGTTAACGACAGTATGCTAATCACTATGCCTGCCTCATGTTGAGTCAGATGAAACTGACCATTCGCACCGGCGTACCTCATCCAGAGGTCACATCCTTCTGCCTGGGCAGCCTGGACACTGTCTGAGTGTACAGCTATGGGCTTGATGTTCCAGTTGACAATCTCAGCCGCCTGTTCTGTTTGGTAAGCCCGATTAATTTGTGTGGTTAAGCCACTCAACTGAGTATTTCCCAAGGCAATGAGAGGGGTTACAATTAGATAACTGATGTGTCGGTAAGTCCTCAACTCCATGTACTGGATTTGTGATTAATTCTTGAATTAACAGTAGCAGGCCATAGAAGACAGCCGTTTTGCCACCTCCTGAGCTCGTTGTTCTTGTGAAAGCCATTGACTTTGTTCAGGTTGTATAGCTGCTATGCCAGCATTAGAATACATGTATCAATGTATCACCAGTATATATTTTTTTCGTCTGATTTCACTAAGTCCTTGCTCTATCTACGCAATGCCGAATAGGCCGTTAAGCCGATGTGTGCCGTGCAGTTTTCTCTCTACTTAAAACCACCGAACGGGGGCACCCACCAAATCAGCGTTATATTGGACTAGACTACACTATTTACATTTACTGGCTGATGATTAACTGTAATGCACTGTACATACAGTGAACATTTATGAATGATCATGGGATAAGTGCAGCCACTCCGGTGCCAAGGTTGCCCGGAGGGCGTTGTTATTCGTGACAGGGCTACCAATTTATATATGGCAGAATTGGCGGTGTATATGTTATATGTAAAAATATTTCGGACGCCCGAAATCCTCTTCACTGTCAAGTGTTTACAGAATAGAGAGCTTACTCATCATGCGGACCGGATAGCACAAGGGTATATATCCCACGGTGACTTATGCCTCTGAATTGCGAACAAGAGTTGAAATCATGAAATCCATACTTTCAGACAGAAGCTCCATTCACCATGGTTTAGCACCTACCAGATTCTCCTCATCAGATGGAGTGAAGTAATTGGCTATCTTGCTTTATAGTGATGATTTTTTGTTACTGAACACATTTGATAGTAACTCTTCTCCAGATTGGAGAGCGAAATTCAACGAAGTCGCCGACATGTTAGCGGAAACTCGTGCAGAGCTCGATGAATTCCATACTTCCAGCAAGGAGCTCGAAGAGGAGTTAATCAAAGAATTAGAACGAACGGAGAAAGCACAACAGGGTCTCAAAGTGAAAGTTGCTAATATGGAAACAGAAAGGGATGAATGGAAAGTATGTTTCTTCCTCTTTCCTGTTGATCATCAATCAACAATGTCACCATTTAGTCCAAGTTCATATCGCTTCAGACTACTCATAACAAGTCCACTGCCTTTGTCCAGCATGAACTCGATATGCTGCGCCAGGAAAACCATACAATGAAGGTTCAACTTCGGGAACTTGAGATGGGTAACGATGACCTGGAGAGAAATGAGCGCGCTATTACTTCAAGTCTGTTTGATGTGGAAGTGAAGTATTCTCGAGCCCTAGAGGACAAAATCTTACTAGAGCAAGATCTCTTAGACAAGGCAAATCTTGAGGAAGAATGCCAGCGTCTTAGAGATGAACTAAGAGGTAGGCATCCCACTATTCAGGTCACTTCATTGTTTATGACTTCGCTCGAAAGATGCCAATGTGGAGATATCGATATTGAAGGATCAGCTCCTCTTTACTCGTTCACAGCAACTAGGAGATGAGGCTGAGCCCACATTCTCATCTCCGTGCTCTGTCAGTTCTTGTGTTCCACCGCCAGTAAACGTTGATCATGTTGTAAGTACACAAACGCTGTCATCCCAATCAATCGATCTGCAGCTACATCAATCATCTCATCCGGATTGCCACCTACAAGATAATAGGCAGGGCTCTTTTACCAAACCCGTCTGCAGATATCCTCACAGTGCGGATCCCACATCTGCTGAATCATCTCGCCCCAACGTCAGTTCGTCCCCGAGCACATTATCTGTCCTTCCAACTTCTGCTTCTATTGCACAAGTGTCCAAAAGTAGCTCTTCCCTTATTCGCTTGCCTGAGATAGCATCAAAGAGCAAGGGCGTTCAAATGGTGTCTGAAATGAGAGCACGTGTTAGGAACTTGGAGCAGAAAATCCATACCCGAGTTCCTCGATTACGCTCAGGTAGTAGCTCAAGTCGGCAGGATGCAACAATTGTTGCTTCTACATCTACATCTCTTTTGACAAACGGCTCGCCTTCGCTTTCTATCGCACCATCGTCACGCAGGGACTCACCTCCGAATCTGCCTCACTACAAAACGGGGAGCCGCAGCGCGGACCTAGAAGAAAGTGACTGGAGATCAATGTCACCTGCTGCAGATACTTCTGGGTGGGTTTTTATTATGGATGATTCTTCGACAATCCAAAGCCCCAGCAAGGATCTCATACGAACCTCGAGTCCATTTTCTCCGACCATTATTAATCAGTCTCTTCCCCCTTTTGCCGAGCTTCAATGCACTGTGGACCCTAGTATTCGCAGGCCACAATCTCGCCCATCGTACTCGGGATTACGTTCAACAAGCTTGATACCGATGCGTTCTGTCCGTCCCTCTACCCCTCTTTCTGCCCACGCCCACTCCAATGATGATATACGCCGTGTTCCTGGCGTTGAGGCAAGGCGACTACTATGTGCTAGGTCTACTACAAACCCTGCTTTTCCTCCAGCACATACTACAATTTCCTCTCACGATCCTCAAGCCGCGTATGACTCATTGGCATGCAGCAGTGACAAAGACTCTGGTATGAGGCCTTCGTATATTTTACCCACCTCAGATGTCACAATGCGAAGCTCTACTAAAATCCCTGTGTATACAGCCACTGCGCCAAGTGAATTCGATCGCGCAAGGCGTGTGCAGGATGCTGGCTCATAAACAAAGGATAGATATCAATGGGACATGGACAATTGGAGATATTTCAATGAACCCAATGAAGTCCCTCTCGCAATATTGTAATGTTTCACCTGATGTACACGTTCACCTGAGTGACTCTGCCTCAAAAAGTATGTTGGAGAATATTTCAAAGGAATAAATGGGATTTAGTCCAAAAACTTTATAACAGACACCCACATATCGAGTGAGGGACTTGGACAGGAGGACTGCAAGTCTAGACAAATATTGAAAAACTGAAGGGTGTGTAGAATGGTGCAAATCTCAACTAATATTTGAACTAGGGCATACAGATCTTGCTAACTAGTCTTTTATAGTAAACTGCGATATTGATATTCACGAATAATAGAAAATATAATATGAATATTTCCCACCCCAGGCAGGGACCTAATACGTTATGTAAGGGCCTCAAAGACCTATTCTTTGTCGATGGGTTTGGGACCTTAAGTGTTCCCTCGCTGCCGAGGTTTCCCAGTATTTCTAAATACAGCGGTACTTGAACAACCCTCTGCAAACCCTCCTGTGGTGCCCTCTGGAGTTTGTAAAATATTTTTTTGTTTTAGAGGCCTTCTAGGGTAATATTTACAGCATTATTTCCATATAATGCATACTCTTTATGTGCTTGTGAAATGCTCTGTCAAACCTCTGTCAGACCCTCAGACAACCTGTAGGAATCCCTCTGTGAAACCTCGTGAGAACCCTCCAGCCGCTACTGTGTCCAGGTCAATCATCCATATATGGATATCCAGAGCACTACCTCCCAAAACATTACTGCTTTTGGAAGCAGCTGGCTCCATATCTTTGTTTTTTTGCTATTTCTGGGAATCTTAGCTTGTAGATATCACTTTAAACACCTATAGCATACTTAGCTGTGTATATTAATATTGCTCCACCTGACAGATAGTGTGTTTATGTAGCAGAATACCATCATAATTCAAAAAACATTGCCCAAAAAAGGAAATAAAAGAGGAAAGAGGTTTTTGGGATGGTTGGACAGGTTATCACAGCGCATGATTAGGCTCTGGACATTATCCAGACCTTATAAATGATTTTTTGTAGAGAAAACTGGTGCTCTTTTGCTATGCACCATGTCAGAAACACCAAAACAATGATAAAAATAAGAAAAAACATAAAAAGCAGAATAAAACATAGAATAGTGCATGATAATGGGCGCACTGTAAAAAGGCAGGATTGTGCTGGCAGCACAATCCCACCCCCTGTCTATCCCGCTCTGTCTTGCGCAACCTCAAAGCACAAGAAGAAAAATATTATTGGCTGGATGGTGACTTGAAATTTAGATAAGTTTGAAACACTTGTACAATTTTTCCAAACTAATATCAGTGTATTATCATAGGTTTGAATTTTTCAAGAGCTAGTTTGGTCAATGTCTCCAGCAGGATTTTACCCCAGCTAACTGCTGTGCCAAACTATCTTGCCAATATGCTGAGTGGGCCGACACAAGCCGTTAACAGTAATTGACCCCCCCCCCATCCCAGCCAATGTCACCCCTCTTTCCATTTTACTGGCAGGAGATACCCAGTTTGAAGCTGATCATTATTGACATAACAAAATCTGCCCATTGCCTTCATGCTCATGGCTCTCAGGACTTCGACCCAACTCAAATGCAAACAAAGGCCTTACAACCTTAGAAGTTACAGCGAGAAAATGGTGAGGAAAAAAACAACCACTCCAGCAGAAATTCAAAACTAAGTGAAAGTCGTCAACTGCAAGTGGACAGAAGCTAACAATATAGCACTGCTCGACTACCTAATATTTGTGAAGGATGAAGGAGCTGAAGGGGAAAACTTCAAACTGCAGGTATGAACTGGGGCCATTGAAGTGTTGAAGAAGATGACAAGCGCTGGGGCACCAAAAAATGTGATGGCATGCCATACAAGTGGAAGGAGGTGAGCACACCTATTTTTTTTGAACAAGATAATCTATCCTACCTTTGTCTAGCTCAAAAAAAGTATAATGCTGTCAACTTCCTGAAATCAGATAAGGTATTAGGCTTTACCTACCCGCAAGAGAAAGGTCTTGATTGGAATCTATCCAACAAGCCCGCTATTAGTGCTTTGATCAAGGTGCATTTGTCAAAAATCATACCGGAAGCCCTACTGATGTTTTTTTCAGCAATATCCTAAGTTTAAGCTATCACACTTCAAGAAAAGGGTATCTGCATACTACTTGAGACTCGCAACACTCCTGCCTGATAGGCAGCCAAAAGGAGTACATGTGTTTCACACAATGCAAGGTGCACCAGTGGGCAATCCTGCAGATGAGGATATAAATGATGGCAACAACTGTGGATACCTATTGGATAAGATGATAGACGAAGATATGATAGTGGTGAATGCCGATGTTGATGTTGACTTAGATGAGGACAATGAAGATGCCAGTGGTGTTTGGGTTGGTGGTAGCTATGTATACCCAGCTTGCGAATTCCCTCCAGTTTTTTGCTACTTCCAGTCCTGCAGCACAATCAGGAAATCCAGAGCGGGCTGTGAAAGACTTGGCCATTGAGATTTGCAGTGAGCTGGAGTCGGACCTAGATGACCGGAGCTTGGTGCAGCTCATTGAGTTATTTAATGCCAATGGTAAACACGTGCATACCTATGTGAAGTTGTCGAAGGTTAGAGAGGGTGCTCAAAAGTTATGGGTTACAAATTGGTTGAAGGAGTTGAGAGTGGGGGAAGCAGAATAAAGTTACTCTACCTGAGGCCTAATCTCTGATCTAGAGTGCTCCTCATTTTTTCTCATCAATGTCTCATCTTTGAATATGTTGTACTTGCTTAGCTATCTTGTATACTCACTGTATTTTGTAACCGTGCCAATGGACTTATGGATTGATTGATTGTGAGTGAAAAACGAAGCACATTGATATCGCTTGAGATCAGAATTGTACAAGTTAAAAGTTACGCATCACTGGCCCTCACAGCTAGAACTCGCTGATAATCTTCCCACATCTTCCTTGCAATACTATTGCGCAAGGTATTTGCTTCCTCGTGTGCTTGGGGACCAGTTGGTGCTGATGCAAGAGCCCCGTAATCAGCATTGGCAGGCTTTTTATTGTCTTCATTTAGATAGTCATCAATGTCATCTGGCTTATGTAGACGTATGAAGTTCTGGACCATGCAGAGTACAGCGGGTATGCTTGCCTGGATTTCCATCAAAAATTGAGCAGGACATATGAGAAAGCAGAACCACTGCTTTAGGACACCAAATATTTGCTCAATGCAATTTTAGGCCTGCGCATGACAGAGGTTGAAGAGTTCTTGTGGGTTCCTTGGCCTGTAGTCCTATTAGAATAAAATATAAGCAGATCAAAACAAGGATGCACCTGAGAGCTGCAAAACCCCACTTGGCAAGGTGATAGTGCTCCCCCCGGTAGAGAATGACCATTTATTTGCTAAGTCCAAACCCTGCATGTAGTACTTGCCAGGGGGAATACACAAATCTTGCCTTTGCGCACTATCAAATATTGTAGTGTCCGCTGCAGATCCCTCCCCAACCAGTTATGATGTAGGTGAAACAAATGTCAAATGTGCAGCATGCAAGACAATTGTGGGAGAGGCCTCCCTTTCAATTGCAAGCGGCGGTTTGTTCAGTGGCAGATGGGACACAAGGTATGTGTGTGCCATCAATGGCACCAAGCACATCTTTGAAGTACAGGAAAAGCTTGGGGTTATCTCTGATTTTGACGGGTGTTGCATCTGATACATGGGGAAGATAAATGTATGTCGTGTAGACTGGGGGTGACAAAAATGCAAATCAAACTTCTGTGAAATATCTAGAAATAGTTAGAAAATATTCAAAAAAATAAACAATAGCACTTACTTTGAGATTGTCTTGTTGGAATGCTGGAATTGTTCACCAACGTGTCTGACAAATAATGTTACGATAACACAATTTTTGGACCTTTCCTTCATTTTCATTCTCCGCTTTAACCTTGTATACTTTAACCTTCACACATGGTGCCACGTGGCACTTCCCTTTTTGTTCAAAACTCCTCTTTCTCGCGCCACATTGTCTTCTTCTTATTTTAGGTACAACTCTCTCACACAGTGGAGCTGGTCATGCGGACTAGGCCCCATGACATCATCAGCCACTAACTTTATCAACTGTACAGTACATAAGTACAAACACTCTGTATTAGTATATATACCCCAATAGATCCAGGAGACTCCTCAGCGAGTCCTCCTGTTGTATACCAACAAACTCTCTGCAGCCTAAAGGGTAACCACTCCCTCTTCATTTTCTTTATAGTGTGTTCCTGTGTGTGCCAGAGTAACTAACTCTTGGTTGTTACAGATAATCCTGTAAGAGATATGTACAGAAAAATGCCAAGTTTTTCTTCAGTCAATATATACTTTGTGCTTTGATGGCCCACACCACATAGAACCTTTACTAGCTGTATGAAAACATCTTTACTAACCCCCAACTCACAGCAAATACAACCTGGGTGACCCTCCACCAACTCATGCATCCATCCTTCACCAGTAAGCACCAATGTGTGGTAGCATTGTCTATTGATAGAGTTTGAGACGAGTGCAACAGACAGCAGGCTAAGAGACTGAGCAATGATAGCGGTAAAAGTAATGAGCCCTTGCTGCGTGTCAAACAGTAGCTGTGCAAGCTGTAAGACATATTATAGTATTAACATTTTCCTCTCATTGTCAGGTGAGTTGACATCCATTGCAGTGGTACTGTAGTACATTATAGCCTGATAATCTGGTAATATCTTTACCGCAAATAATATGTCAAACAATATGATTAAATTTCAGACTCAGTTACTTTGGTCCAGTTTGGCACAACAGCTAGCCGGGGTAAAATCCTGCTGGAGACATTGATCAAACTAGCTCTAAGAGTTCTCAATGCTGTCTACAATAGTGTGTAAGGCTCTGAAAGGTGGGTGCTCACTGTGGAAGGATAACATTGCACTAGTTTAGATCATCTTATTCAGTAAATTTTGTTTCTGCAGTGTATTCAGGCTTTATGTTTTCATGCTCATATACCCTAATAGCTTACTTGGTACTGTGTATATATCTCAGTATAATGTACATTATAACAACTATAATATACTCTATATTCAGTTCAGAGTGGAATAAAGCAATTATAGTAACTAAAGTACATTCATTTTGGGTTTTGGCACTGTGCTTTAAACCATTCTAGATGCACAAAGTATACTCTAGATGTAAGATAGTACACTATAGTATGCTATAGTATGCTATAGAGCAACTGACTTTCTACTGATTGTATTAATTGATATGAACTGATATGGCCAATATATTTGCTATAATAGCAAAAATTATGTACTAGTGTGTACTTACATATTAGCACTTATAGCCAAACCATATTTTCCTGATGAGGGTTGTGCCCTATGACATTATCAGCCACCACATTTATCAACTGTATAGTACATATGTACAAATAGTCTGTAGTAGTATATAAACCTGAATAAATCAAGGAGACTCCCCCTATTGTTTACCCACAACTAACTTGATCCTACTTTAAGGAGTTTATCCACTCCTCCACTCTCCTCTTTGCTTGTCTGAGTTATGTGTCAGAGTATACAAACTTTGGCTGTTACAATAGTTCTACCAGTGCAAAAACCCTACATCTAGTATAAGAAGCAAATGTCAAACCACCAGATGTATAATGGCCTAAATCCAGCCCATCACTCAAATCACTGATCAAACTAGCTAGGCACACAATTCCCATCACAAGGCCCACTACAAGGTATGTAAAAGCTAAAAGTGGTCATGATTGAAGTCTGGGGACAAGTTATCAATTTCAAGAACTGTGCTGTGTTAGCCAGATATCAGTTCACAGTAAAACTCTGTGCAATTGGAGCAGAGGCTATATAAATTTGCAAAACATTTAGAATTGGAACCATATAGCTGGTTCTTCTGACATCATGCCATAAGTTATCTTAACCCTTCTGTGGTGATAGAAGTGGGGAGGTGATGTTAATAAAACCACAATACTTGAAATATCTAATACAAAGCTTAGGATGTCCTACAACTGGTATATTCCACACAAAAATAGGAAAATCTCACACAAAGCTTGGGATATCCCCTGAAACATTTGGGATATCCTATGCAGCAACATTTAGAATGTCCCAAGAGATTTTTAAGAGGGGTAGTATTGACAACGCTCAATAATGCCATACCCAGCATTTTTTGACAGCTTCTCAGAATATAATGGCTTGAAGTTTGGTTGTAGTTGTCTAGTCATATGTACCTAGTGTCTGTCAGGCAACTAATACAAAGATATATAACAAAACCAATATCAGGTCAGGTTCTTATTGATAAAACAATAAAGCTAAGTATGACTTTGAAGAGTATCAATATGAGTGCAAATCCAAACTAATAATGAATTAAGGAATAATACATTGATTATCTACTCCTTATATAATAAACAGCAAGGGTCAGACCAAAAAAAGGAAGGAATAAGAAAGTGGTCTGACCAAATGACTAGCCAATAAGAAAAAGAAAGAAGTGGTATGATTTATCATAATTATTAATTGTGCAGGAAAAGTCCTTAGTAAGGGATGTACAATTGGCTGGATCAGCGACCCATGGGAAGGTGCTGGGTCACAGTCTGTATTGCTGATTAATCTCTCGCTGAAGTATTCCTGCGCACAGCTCTCAAACAGAGCTATGTATTTGGGATATCTTCTTGGGGATAGGAGAGGAGTCCCCTTTGTTGTAAGTATGAATAGAATACAAATGTGAAAGGAAAACAAGAGAAAAAAAGATAAGAGTAAAAGAATACCAGCTTCTAATCCAACGGTGAGAGGAGTGATGGGGAATAGGTTGGATAACCATGACATGGCAGGGATGTAATAGAAAAATTGACTTCTTACATTAGCTCCCCTTTTATAAGACTTATTTCCTCATGAGTCCGGAGGCGGTGCTTTGGAATTTGTTGCCAATCCAATCAAAAATTACTGGGGGTTTAGGAGTGGTGGTATAGTTCTCATAGGGACAGAAATGAAGTGAAGCAGTGATGGTGCAAGGGGTGGCAGAATGCTTTATATGGAATTTGGTAAGCAAATAGGAGACATGTGTAAGATTATTATTGGGCTCCCAAGTTTGCTCTGAGATTGGATAGCCATGCCAATGGACCAAATAATCAATTTGAGAGCCTTGTAGCTTGGTAGGTCTGGATGCAACTATACTCTTTACCTTATATTCATCTACTCTATCAATGATTTCAGGTGGCAGCCTTGAAGAGACAGGTTGGTTGGGGAATTCGGGAACATAATACAGCGACAAAATGGCTTTATTGAATACTGGGTGAATGGACTTCCAACTTTTTGGGATGTTGAGTTGATAGGCGGAAGGCCCTACTTTCCACATGATTTTGAAAGGACCAAGGTGTTTGTCATCCAATTTCTTCATTGGTCTATCTGTTGTGATATTGTGACCTTCCAACCAAACTTTGTTGCTCGTTTGATATTCTCAAGGTGGGGACCTTTTACGGTCATATTAGTGTTTGAGATTATTGTTTGCTAAGAGGAGGGAGGATTTTGTGAGGTCATAAAGTCATCTCATTTGTTTGCCAAACTTGGCAGCTGATGCAGATCAAGGAGATGATGGAATGGTGGTGCTTGTTTGTGGGTGTAGGCCATAGTTTACAAAGAAGGGTGTCTGGTTTGTTGCGGTATGGAGATGATTATTGTAAATGAATTCGGCAATA